TTTTATGCGTTGGCCAGAACTGGCACTGACCCACAAAAAGGGGGTGCTGGGAGTTCTGGCTTATGAATAGGGTTTCATGTTTTGGGTGTTTTTTAATTTGTGAGTATTACCTGGCTCAGTGAGCAAAAGAAGAGCCGTGATCAAAGGGTGCAGCCAAAACCTGTAACCAAAAGTTGTGTCCAAATGCCGTGACCAATGCGACGCAATCTAAGGAAAAAGAAAATAAGAAAAAAAAACAGTTGTGCTCACGTTATCATTTTCGTCATGTGACTTAATTATTAATCACGTGATCGAACAAAAAATAAACCTAGAAATAAATTATCCCCTGCCCGGTTTCGAACCTAGGCTCTCATGATCGCAAAACTAGTGTGCTATTCATTGGGTCAACCTTGCTCATTGACGTCACTATAACTCGGCCAAAGGTAATGCTCACGCATTCTCACATCATGAAAGAAAGCTGAGGTGCTCTCATAGTTTTATTTTTTTAAAAATGGGGTGATTTTTTGGTGCTTATTTGTTCTCTCGAATTTTGAGCTTATCGGTGTCTTTTTTTGATATCGACTAAAACTCGGAGTGTCACGGTACTTATGTGGTAAAAGCAAATGCATATCTGTGGCGTTTCTAGGAGACACAACATGATATGCACTACTCATTGCTAAATGGAGCACATAAAAACAATTTCCAAAGAAAAAGAGAAGCCTCGCAGACAGTTCAGTGCGGTCGGTGTTGTGGTTCAACAAAAGTACAGGCGTTTATCAAGGTTCCCTGCCGTGGAAAGTGCAATTTCTCTTCATAGCAAGCTCAATTCGGGTTCTTTCGGTTTTTGCAGATTTCAAGAAAAATCGTTTGGAGGTCATATTTTTATGTATATCAGCATATACTGAAAACACGTAACCCACTTATGATTGAATGATTGTAAAAAGCATACAGCATGCCATGGAATTATTATAATGGTGGTGGTTGAAAGTGTTGCAAAGAACCTGAATGTTTTACTCGAACCTATCAACTTGATCCCAAAGATGCCACTTTTCTAGTGATTCATTGACCACCACTTTCAGATACAAGAGACACACCTTTGCAAGTTGTGCAACTAGTCGCCCGAAGTACCTGAAAACTGGAGCTTGTTACTTCCCCCTCTCCGGCTACGACGTCAGAGACTCCCCCTGAAGCTGTGTTCAAGCGACGCAACACTTCCTTCGGTGACCACTCGTACGCAGCTGTGTCACCACGACTGCACAGGGTCCTGGCCACGAGTAGGCAAAAGCTGCAGAAGGCGAGGAAACTGTTGAAACAGGCAAAGAAGAAGATCAATCGGAAGACTGCCAGGATTAGGAAGCTGAACACGCTGCTCCGTGAATTGAGGAAACGACTTCCTAAGCCAGCAGTTGACATACTTGACAATGCATTCACCAACACAATGCGCAACCTCGTCTTAAAAAGAGTCAGGCGCAACAAAAACGCATGTACAGAGGATGTGCGCAAGTTTGCCCTCACGCTCCATTTTTACTCAGCAAAGGCATACAGCTTTCTGCGAAAGCACGTCAAGCTACCACACCCAAGCACTCAGCGGAAATGGGCAGCGGTGGTTGATGCACGACCAGGACCAGGATGCACGACCAGCGACGCCGGGGCTACAGCGGCTCGGCAACTCGCTGGACCTGCAGGAGTTACGTGAGCAAAGGCGACACGACCTGCAAATGGGTGCACAAGAGCATCCCGAAGCTTGCTTCCAGAGAGGGTGCGACGTCGTCAAGGAAGTGACTAGCTGGGGAACTACCTGCGCAAGAAGGATGGAATTTTGCTTTCTGGCACTCCTCGACGGCCCCCAGGGACCAATAAGACTGCCAGTGCGACCACATCTCTAGGAATCGGGGTGCGACACCGGTCTCATTGGAGTGCACATGTGCGTCAGAAGAGCTTGGAGCTCTGCTCAGCCTCGTCTTGCGTGCACCAAGGAGGCTGCTAGCTTTGCGTCCCTCCAGTACGCTGCTGGACGACCGACGTGAGCCGCCTCTTGTATGTACCGAGCGACGCCAGGGCTGCAGTGGCTCGGCAACTCGCTGGACCTGCGGGAGTTACGTGAGGAAAGGCGACACGACCTGCGAATGGGTGCACAAGGGCGGAGGGGTCCCGCAAAGCTTGCTTTATGAAAGAGTGAAACATAGTCTTCAAGTGAATGCCTAGCTCGGGAACTACCTGCGCAACAGGAATGGAATTCCGCTCTCCGAGTGCAATAAAGTGACTTGCGCACTGAACGTGACCCTATTCACTACTATTATCAGGCGCTGTGTCTAAAGATAGGTCTGACGTACCTAGGATGCAAAATCTAAAGATACGTCAGACGTACCCAGGACGCGGAGTCTGTGTCGGGTGTCCTAGCGTGGGCAGTCGGACTGCGGCCGGACGCTCCCGCTGGTGTATTTACAGCAGTCCGAAAGCGTTCCACGCTTGCGTCTTATCGACCTTGCACAAGTGGCTGGCAGCCGCTTGCCTGGCTGCCGTGTGATACACGGGCGTGTGCCTGTCGTGTGTAAACACGCGTGGAGTGCCAAGAAAATCAAACATTGTGTCTAACAAACTACTGATTTCAAATTCCCCGACTTTGTCAAGTTTTTCCCTGACTATTTTGATCAAATTTCTTGAGTTTTTGAGTCGAAGGATGACATTTCGGCAATGTCATTCAGCATGACCGTGCCGACGAGCAACCGCCATGCCGCTTTCACTAGTCGTTTTCCCTTATTTAGCCCACTTTTTGAATGATTCCCTGACTTTCCCAGATGATCCGAAATTCCCTGGGAGTTCAAGGCTTTCCAGGTTGGCAGACACCTTTTGAAATATCGGCACGCGTTTGCGGGGTTTAGTGATCGGGAAGCTGCTCGAGAACAACATAACTATAAGAGAAGCTGGTACAGTACAGCTTACACGACTGTGGCCCCTTCACAGAAGGCACCCGGCAGGCGGCCGGGAGCCGCCGTCCGCCCGGAGTGACCGCCGTCGGTCTTTTTCACGTCACTACGGATCACATTGTGAAGTGGTCCGTAGTTAGCTCAGCATCGAGCAGTTCGGAGATTTCAACACTTCTCTCGCTGCTTCAAATGCGAATCTTGACGGTCGAGCTAAGAAAATTGCCCGGGTACGTCCGCCGTACCGTTAGAACTCCGCGTTCTGGTTACGTCCTACATACCTTTAGACTCCGCGTTCCGGATGGGTTCGACGTATCCTTCGACTCAACGATTATGGAGGAGCTCCCGTGGTTAACGATTGCGGATATTTTAATTAAACTCGAACGACCGAGCGATGTCCGAGGTAGTGATCCGAGCCCGTACGAGAAGCACGGGACCGAATCTGGCTTACTCTGAATTAAATAAAAAAGAAAAGCCTCATTCCCTCGTACTTCACGTTATTCCTACGTGGGAGAGCACACAAAACCCTCAAAAACCGAATTCCGCTCACGAAATCCACACACTCCGATCAACGCCCACAACGCTTCCGACACGCACTGGGCGCTGCCATCTTTTCGTTGACGCCAGAGATTTGGTCTGGTTACTTCATAGATTTGGCCTGGTCACGTGTCTAGTGGTCAAAATTGTACAACATGGCGGCGGCCAATCGGGGGTCACTTTTGCCTGATGAACGGTATACTAGTTTATCACTCTAAGGCCCTCTACCTCGTTGGGATTTAGGAAACTTTAAATTGATCGATTCGACCTTCGTGTCTAACACTGCCAGTACTCGAATGCTTTGCAAAACGCCTTTAAGTCCGCGGTCTTTTTTTTTTTTTGAGTTCGTTGAGTTTAGTTTTCTCCATTCTTTGGTGCGCTACTGTGTAGCGACGGCGCCGGACTCTACGTAATGAGTCATGACTGAAACACATTTGCGAAAAGCGGCCAAATTGTATGAAGAAATCGCAAACGAAAATCAGACAGCAACTCCTATTGCCTTCTTTTTTTTTTTTGAGTTCGTTGAGTTTAGTTTTCTCCATTCTTTGGTGCGCTACTGTGTAGCGACGGCGCCGGACTCTACGTAATGAGTCATGACTGAGACACATTTGCGAAAAGCGGCCAAATTGTATGAAGAAATCGCAAACGAAAATCAGACAGCAACTCCTATTGCCTTCTTTTTTTTTTTTTTGAGTTCGTTGAGTTTAGTTTTCTCCATTCTTTGGTGCGCTACTGTGTAGCGACGGCGCCGGACTCTACGTAATGAGTCATGACTGAAACACATTTGCGAAAAGCGGCCAAATTGTATGAAGAAATCGCAAACGAAAATCAGACAGCAACTCCTATTGCCTTCTTTTTTTTTGAGTTCGTTGAGTTTAGTTTTCTCCATTCTTTGGTGCGCTACTGTGTAGCGACGGCGCCGGACTCTACGTAATGAGTCATGACTGAAACACATTTGCGAAAAGCGGCCAAATTGTATGAAGAAATCGCAAACGAAAATCAGACAGCAACTCCTATTGCCTTCTTTTTTTTTTTTGAGTTCGTTGAGTTTAGTTTTCTCCATTCTTTGGTGCGCTACTGTGTAGCGACGGCGCCGGACTCTACGTAATGAGTCATGACTGAAACACATTTGCGAAAAGCGGCCAAATTGTATGAAGAAATCGCAAACGAAAATCAGACAGCAACTCCTATTGCCTTCTTTTTTTTTTTTTTTGAGTTCGTTGAGTTTAGTTTTCTCCATTCTTTGGTGCGCTACTGTGTAGCGACGGCGCCGGACTCTACGTAATGAGTCATGACTGAAACACATTTGCGAAAAGCGGCCAAATTGTATGAAGAAATCGCAAACGAAAATCAGACAGCAACTCCTATTGCCTTCTTTTTTTTTTTTTTTTTTTTTCGGCGGGGAAACCCGGAGGGGGACGGAGCGATGTCGCAACCTTACTTCGGGAGTTCCGTCCGTTCCGTCCCTCTCCGGGTTTTCTACGCTATGACGCAGCCGCGGCAGCCGCCGAGGCTGGTTGAGTGTTTCCGCGGTTTTTGATCAGCTTTGTACGAAGACTGATTTTCTCGTGTTACGTGTATGTGGTGAACGGAGCATTGCGGAGACTGAGAATTATGTGGGCTGTTCGCTGTGTTGTGGCATTCGGGCAAACAAGATCGCGGTGAGTTTGCTCGTGTACAGTCGGCGGTAAAAGTTTGCGGGGCGCGGGAGCGTCAGCCGAAATGACTGGTAGCGCCTTCTGCGGCGCGCGGCCGCTCTCAAGATTCACGCTTCGAGAATGTGCTTCCTTTCGTGCTCGAAGCCATGACTTTTTCGCTCGCTTCCGCCCGACGTGCACGAGATAACCGGGGACCGGCGCAAGGTGCCGCTATGACAGCCATCACGCCGCGCGTCTGCCTCAGCCACCGTGATGGGTGACGAAACTCGCGCATGCTACAGATAACGTTTCGCGGCACCTTGCGCCAGTCCCAGTTATATATCGTGCGTGTCGAACGGAAGCGAGCGAAAAAAGCATGAGCGCGAACAAGAAAGGAAGCGCGTGCGCATAGCGTGAGTCTTGGAGCCGCAACGTGCCGTGAGAAGGCGCAGCCAGTCTTTTCGGCAGGCGCTCCCGTGCCCCGCAAACTTTTGCTCCCGACTGTACGTCGGCCGATGCTCGTGTCGGTGCACATCTCAATCTCAACTAAACATCGAGCGCCGATTGTGGCTGACTCCATGCATGTAAGAACGAATTAATCTAACAGGAACTTCGTGAATAAGAACGAGGCAAGCGTGTGGCTGTAGAAGGATGTCGTGACCGGTGGCATACGTACACTGGTTTCCGCACGTTGCTTCTGTTTACTTTATCTGTTGTAATAGCAGTCTTTGTACCGGTGCGTGAAGGCCTCGGTTGCTTCGAAAACCAAAGCCAGTCTCTTTTTATCCGATGATTCTGTCCAGTCCTAATCACGGCGTCATATATATATATATATATATATATATATATATATATATATATATATATATATATATATATATATATATATATATATATATCAAGAGTGCACGTCTGGTGTTGTTTGCGTTAATTTTACTGCGGAGGACGTTGCCTTTTGCGCGGGATCAGTCTTCTCGTGTAACTTGTCTTCCAAATTTGCGTGTAACAATTTTTGCACCCTCCAATTTCCGTTCTATATTCGGTTTATTTTCTTGTAAATGTGTTTCAGCCTTAACATTTTGCCGCGGCGCAGCTCTGTTCAGAGAAGAAACGGTCTCAGCACAGCAGGGTGCACGAAGCGCGTCGTGTGTTTAGAAAAAAAGAAAATGAAATTGGGCAAGAAATGATTTGGTAACTGCACCGTAATAAGTGGCTGCCAGCAGTGGAAAAAAAAAGAAGAGATATGTTGCCTTACAGTTGGAGTTAAGTCATCTGCCTTATTGTAGTATTTGAGGTAGAAAGGAGAACAAACTAGATGCCTGGGCCGGCTTGCGAGAGACAGCGTCTCGGTTGAGACTGCTCAAAGAAAGCGCTGCCAAGGCTCGGGCGCGCGAGCGTCTAGGACTCGGTTTAACCTCTAGCACTAGCCTTGACAGCGCTTTCTTTGAGCAGTCTCAACCGAGACTCTGCTTCATGCAAGCCGGCCCACATATCTAGAAAACCAATTTTCTGCCCCAAAAGGTGGTAAAAAAATGTGTCACATTACTGTGCAATTGCGGGGTGTTAGCGTGAAACATTTTCGCGGTAGACTGCAACGCAAACAAAAAATGGAAAAGAGCAAGAAAAAAAAAACAGTAAGTCAAGCGCGAAATGCTAGGGAAAGGAAGGTGGGAGTGGAGGAAGCAGATGGATAGCTGGCAAGGAGAGGAGGAACTTCCCTTCCCTTGCCAGCGTTGTTTACTTACTCCTTTCCATGTTCCTTGCCCTTGGCAGCAGTTTAAATCAAATAGCGCTGCCTCGTCCTGGCTTTCATTGCACTGCTCAAGCTATGAATGACAAGGCGCTATACCATTCCAGCCCAGCTCTGTTCACCTGACCTCTCAAGCCAGATGTACAGAAACGAAAACCTAGCCGAACGTTTCACATGCCAATTACTGCGGCCATTCATATCACTGCCCAATGTTAGCATGCTAGACTGTAGCTCCTCATGCCTTCGAACAAAGGCCATGGCTGAGTGCTACCCCCACATCAGGACGTTCATAAATTCGTCAGAGCCTCCATATTCAGCATTGGATGTCAAACGAGCGTGGCCACTTCTGTTTGTGAGGGAGCACCTCCTTGATCACTTCCATAAGTATAATTTTCATAAATATTTGTCCATGAGTTTACACAGGTTTAGAGTTATTTACAGGGTGTCGAAAAATGCAAAGCTATAGATATAGAATTGACGGCAATGGGAGCTGCAAATTTGACAAAAAAGTGTTCCTTTTATTATTAACCATTAAAATGCTCGGGCTTGGTGGCCACTGTTTTAGTTGCATATGGACTAGGGCAGCGTGAGTAAGCAATTAGAATGTGGGGAATATCATTAACTATAAATGTAACTATGGCTTCAATGTTCTGGTAGAGCAGTCACAATAGCATGTGGTAGAGGGCAAGAAACATTTCAGCACAGCAGCATGGAGGCACACATAATTGAGTGATTATAAAAAGAAGGCAAATTGGAAACTTGCAGCAGTTTCAAAGTTTTTCCTGGCATGTGTGCTTGAAAATCTTTTTGCACAAATATACCTTTTTAGAAAGGCAGAATATGTTCAGATCTTTGCAAGAGTCACTCACTCCTAAAACAAACATACACTATTATGCTCATAAAAAGGTGCTTTGAACGACGAATACGATTGCTACTTTCACCATACTGTGGTCCTTGCAGATTTCTTTCCTTCAATATTTTGCTTTTCGCAAAAAGGTATTTTGATTACAAAGATTTTGGATATGAGGAGTCAGTGATAACATGAATTTTTTAAGGCTTACAGGTGTCTGTCTGGACGGAAAATTGAGCCTGCCCAAAGATGTCCTCCTCCTCGTGACATTCCTACGTTCAAGCCCCAAAAATGATGCTGTGCTCGAGTGGAGCCTCAAAATCAACAAGGCCAAGGCAGAGTTCAAAGATCAAAACGCAGCAGCTGTCTGCCTCCTCCCATTGCTTGCATCCGACTTTCAAGAAAACCTCGGAGAGCTGTTCCAGTTACATCAGGTAGGAGCATTCATAATAACCAGGCTATTTGTTTCCAAAGACACATCCTCATGACCTTGTTGAAAATAACTTCCTGGAAGTCTCACACAGGCAGTCAGCATTCCACTGAGAAACTATGCATCTGGAAATACTAAACTTTTCTTCATTTTTTGAAATTTTCAGCTATATCAGTCTTCCTGTATACCGTAACATACCGGCCATGCACCTATGTCCGAATAGGCGCCTACCTAGTGGTTTTTAACCATTGGAGCAATGCCTTGTACTCTTTCTGCAGTTTCGCTTTCTGAGCGGCCATCCCCCCACTTTTTTAGAATTATCTGCAAAATCTTTGTGAACGCTTTCTTGGTATCTGACGACAATGCTGATAATGAGCACGTAAAAAGTGAAATTACTATTGCTCTACGAGGAGCCAAACCTTCCTTAATCTTTTCCTGGCTGAGGTGGCTCAACTTATTATACTTCACATTAGAGTGCAATGGGAAGACATGCAACTCTAGGCTGGGTCATCTTATAGTATGTTCTACATAAATATTTCACTAAACCAAAGGGGGATAGGCAATGGGCACCCACTCTTGTACCACTTGCTTCTAATGGGTTCACATGATGTTTTGCATTTTTGGAATCGAGTGTTAGAGTTAACACAAAAATTATGCTAGAGAATTAACTAGTGACAAACGTTTGACTTCCACGTCGACTCCTAAGTTAGGATCATTTGTTTTTAATATTAGCAACTTCCTTGTCCCGCAGGTGTAACAATGAGGCTTTGTGACAGATATCAGCAGATACATTGCTGCTTATTTAACATTGTTTTTTTAGTTGTTATTGAGCGTTAGGACAACAAATGTTTGTAGTTAAAAATGTCCTTATTAGTGAGAAAATAACAGGAACCGCATCCTTTAATCCCATCAAACGCTATCTCCTGTAGGTGGGATGAAGGGTTAAAGGAAATAAGGGTGAGATGAAAATAAAGTGGGTGAGACGAACCTCTTTCACATAAGTGAGGGGTGAATGGAGAATAGCCTTTTGGTATTCCCGAATACCCGTGGGATTAACAGACTCTTTCAAGGTTTGGAGTTCTTGCATGTGTTGGCAGTACCAGGAGTGCGCTTCTGAGACTGTGACCTCGCAGTGGGCGCATAGGCTCTTGTCTTTTTCCTGTGTATGGCGGCTTATGCACCATGTTCTTGTGGGTGTTACATTTTGCTGTTTCCTTGGAAACCATAGTGGTGTGGGTCCGTTGTCCTTTCAGGCGAACCTCTTCCCACCTGGTATAATTACCATCTGGGAGTGGGTCTAAGTCGTCTTTGAGTAGAGCCGTGAGGTGTTTTCAGTGGGCCTGTTGTTTGGCTTCCTGGGAGAACAGGGGATCCTTTGTGTCTTTTTCAATGAAGGCGGCGCTGTTGTCACCAAGGATATAAAGGATAAGGGAAGACAGGAACTCGCATGTGGCGGCAGACGCTGTTTCATTTACTTGGGAATGGTTTGGTGTACCAGGAAGCAGTGGATTTAAAGTTGTCGGCCTTCCTGCCAGAGTCCTTTGAATGTGCCCCACACTCGTCGTGTGTTATCTCGGAGCTTGCACCTCAGTTGTTTACGGAGCTTCTGGGTGTATTTTTTATCTTCACCGTGGTTGCATTGAAATTGGCTTGGATTTTTCAGTCCTTATTTCTCCTGTAACATTGTTGGGCTTGCAGTCTGATAGCACACAAGTTGAGGAGATGAAGGTCGGGGTCTGGGTCGTCTTGTTTAGCTTGGTACTTCTGAGTGGATGTGGCTTTCATTATTCGCTCACCTAGACACTTTTTCAGGTGCTAGGTTAATGAAGCTGATCTGTCATTTAGTGTTGGGGTGTCTTTCTGTCATTAATTCTAGTTCGACGGGTAGGTGCTTGCTTCCCAAGGCGTCGGAGCAGTTCGCACTCGGGCTTGGATGTTGCGTATGGCCCATGTCAAGTCTTGTGGTGTCGTTCTCAGTGCGACGTTTGCCAATGCGAATGGCAGTCTGTTTTTCTTTGAGAATTCATAGATTGGCCTGCTTGGCGGGTGTGAAGACATTGCACTCTCTGTCATTGTCTCGCTTGTATCCCCATATTCGTGCATCTGCGGTAAAGTCGCCGGCCACGATAAGTTCTTCGGGCATCATTCTTTGCGATCTGCCTTACGTCTTCTTGCTTGTGTCCCACAGTTCTACATTCTGGGGGAATAAATATAGACCCATAGATGTATGGTACCTTCACTAGCGTTTCGAGCATTTCTCAATTAACCACACATGTTTTCTGACTTTTCTTAGGTGACAACAGAAATCACAGAGGAGTTTCGTAACAGTCTGCCTGCTTCTTCTGTAATTGTTGCACTGGGTGAGCTTCATGTGTCTTTTCCTTGCATGCTTTGTATTTTTGAAGGGGCTTTCTTTTTTAATTTGTGTTGAATTTTGGAACAACAACCTAGACCGTTTTATCGTGGGTAGTGCCATTTTGAGAGTGAGAGAGAGAAGAGGGGTCAGTGCAGATGACTCCTAGTGACTCAATTGTAGTGGGATACTGTAGTGGTGTAACCAGAGTGCTGGAATACTGCAGTGGTGTAACCAAAGGGTGGTGTGCCGATTTTGACCAGAGCTAGATGGACGACCACATTGTTTGGTTTCGGCAGCCTTATCAAGCACCAATGTAAAGCACATGTCCTGGTATTATACCATACTTCGACAATCAATGTTTGATTGATCCAGGAAGAAAAAGAGAAGTTTTTATTTTGGTTTGTGAGTGTAGGTGCCACAAAACGGCATACAGCCCAAACAGCAGGTGCCTGTGAGGCATTTGATTGTTTTGGCCTGCATTCTGTGTCTTGTCCAACCCAAACAGCCAAATTTTCTGCTCGTAGAATATGTGGTCGCATGCGGTCTCCGGTCATTTAATTTCTAGCTAAAGCAATTTAAACGAAACCAACGACTGGCATTGCACGTTGGCATCGGACTTCCATGCTACTGATCCTGTTCACAAACTCAACAAAAAGTGTTTGATTCTACATGCTCATATACAAATTTTTTGTTTTGTTCAAGCCTTCAGGAGCACTTTGCATAACTTAATGTCATTACTGGGTATGGTAGCTCAACACTATTTAGTGCGACCCTTATTTGGCTTGGCATATAAGGTGTGCCTTATCTGTGATTTTGAGGTATCTCAGTCTCAGATCTCAGATATGCGTCACAATTCTATATCAGTGTACCTACCTATTCAGTGTCCCTGTTGGTAATACCTCTATAGAAGTTTCCAGATGTGAATATGACAATGGTATTTTTTTCTTCATTTAATGCGTGAGCGTTAAAAGCCCTATTAGAGAAAAAGCCGGCGTAGTGGTGTCGGTCGCACGACTTTTCTGGTCACTTGACTAGATAGGTCTATACATCTGATACTAACACATTTTCTCCGCATTAATTACATTAATCGCTTGTTTCTTTCCTAGGCCGCTCACTTTTCGAATGCAGCTGCCAGCTGTTTGTGGACCATGAGGTGATGGTGGAAGATCTGGGCTTTCTGCAAGCTGTGGAGCTCCTTTTCGCCCTTTATTATTGTTTAAACATCCAGTATGCCAAAGGTGCGGGAACCACACTTGAGTTCATTCAGAGGTATGGTTTATTTCCTTCATAATTTTGAGCCTCATGAGAGGCAATAAAGAGCAACTCTGCTGAAGTTTGGCTGAGAAAACGATTAATTCTCTTTATAATCATCTAGGAAGGCTACAACTGAAATCTTTCTGTATATAAAATTGGACCCTCAAAGTTTGAGAAGCGCTAATCTGCTAATTTTAGCGAGCGATGTGCAGGCTAGCCAACTTTGGCACTTCCTTCAGATGTGACGTCATGTTGATGTCTGTTGTATACACCGGCTTTTTTCTCTTTCAACGCCGTCACATGTCCAGTCAGTTCAGACAACACTACCTAGAGTTGACCCAGTGAGTGGGGTAAATCACGTAATCATGCATCTGCCATGGACATGAGTGTGCGTGCAACTGACGTTGCTGCTTGCCCTTTGACGAAGTTTCGGTTTCAATTTGCGACTTGAGTTATAAATAGCAAAGTTGCGCAAACAATATTCTACTTTTCGTGAAACAATGTAGAGTTGTTCATGAGTGCTTTTCAAAGTAAGGTCATCCACTATCTTGAAATTTTCTAAATTGTGTAGAGTTGCCCTTTAATTTGTCACTGGCTACCCACATTTCCAAGCTCAATTTCAGAGTCCATTATTAAACCGCAATGGGGTGTTGTATTCTTGGACCACAGAATAAATAAAACGTGCTCGGGACGAAGGAGACGACAAACATTTCTTTCAACTAAGAACAACAGGAATGAACTTAAGAGCACTCCGTGCAATTCAGACTGCCAAGAAAATGGAGAGAAAGGGAGGAAGGAAGATAAAAAGGAAAGTGTAAAGTTAGAATTGTAACTCATGCTGTTACTTCACTCTTTTTCTTATTTCCTTCCTTACAATTTTTGATACTTTCCTTTCTCTCTTTCTGCCTCCCTTTCTCTCAATTTCCTTGGCGGTCTGAATTGAAGGAAGTGCTTTTAAGATCATTCATGTTGTTAATTAAAAGAAATGTTTGTCGTCCTTCGTCCGGGTATGTTTTGTTCTTTCTGTGGTCTGTGAATTTTACCAACACACTCTTCAGTTACTTTAAAGGTTGTTATATCTTACATAATAATTCGATTTAAAAATTTCACCTAATGTTACAATGTGACTATGTTTGATCCTATCCCAGAAATCACAAATAAATATGTCAATATATCTACTATTCCTATTGTTTTATCTTTACTGAATGTGTCATTTACTTATAATTCTATTTGGCCTCAGTTAGAAGGCAGAGTCATAAGCAGTATACATCATTAAATTATTTTTGGCTGGAAACAAACTGGAGCCTCAAAATATGTTTAATATACTCAGCTAATTATTTATTTAAGAGTTTCTTTACTGCACCACACTATTCTGTACCACTCTAAAAGTGTCTAGAAGTGATATGTGCAGATGATCTCTAATTCATAACTAAATTTGACTGATATACAACCTTTTCACAACTTTTTGATGCTTTATTTCTGCATGTTTTAGTAGCATGTGGTTCACGTTTGATTTTGTACCTGAATGCCTTTTTCTTGTCTTTATATATGTTTATCAATCATATGTTCTTTCGACAATGGCTGGCCAAAAAGTGGCTTCCTAAAAAAATAATGATTCTCTTACAACATTCCTTTTGCCATGTCTGGTGCTTTTAAGCAATCATTAACAGCTAGTTGAGTATTTTAGGTCATTCAACTCTCTGCAATACTAATTATGCAAATGAGTGCTTGCTTAATTACGAGTAGAAATGCAGAGGAGGAATTGCTTTGTGACTGTGTAGGACAACAGACAAATTTTAATGCTGTATTGTAATAAAAGAATAAAGAAAATACATGCAAATATGTATTGAAATACAAATACAAAATGCTTCTTCAAAAATGTATTTAATTACAAATCTAATTACTTTTGCAAATAAGTATTTAAGTACAAGATACAAATACAACCAAATGTAGTTGGTCTCTTCCAAATACTTTTCCAAATACATTCCTTAAAATTTGCGTCAGCGACTTCAGGGCACCTGCAACAGGTTTCTGGGTATCTCATTTTAATTTTGCATCGCACACTCGGGAGTTAGTGCTCGAGGCTCTAGTAACGTAATACAAATATAATCACAAAACAAAATGTAATCAGCTTGGACGTAATAGGTGAAAAACGTACAGATCTTCAAGCAGTTTTTTTTTTGTTGATTACATTTTGGTATAGACAATCAAAGAACCGAGACGGCCAAAACGCGCAGCACTAGCTACAGATTTTTTTATTGTTGCAACTCGCACCAGTTACAAACATCTGGATGACCCGCGCATTTAGAACGTTCGAGGCAAAAGTATGGATGGAAATCAGGCTGGAAAGCATCACAAGTTGTCACCGTCACCTATTTAGCCAGTCTGCCTGTGAACGTCGATTTCGTCATTATTCTTTCCCTGGACTAGCACCGTAATTACAAAGTCACTAAACGCTTGTGCTTGATTGAGAGACACTGCATTCGGTGCAGAACGTAGTTTTCTTCCTGCTCTGGACAGTGACAATAAATTTGAGGGATGTATTTTCGCCCACAAAATTGTATTTAATTACAATTGTATTTGAAATACACACGTTTTAGTATTTAAATACACACGTCAAATACATTACAGAATTTTTAATTAAATACAAATGCAAAATACACAAAGTATTTGAAATACTGGCCATCCCTGGCGCGAAGTATGTACTTGTTCTTCTGTTTATGTCGCTGCTATAAAATTTACTTTTGTTTGCTTCCAAAGCTTCTCCCAAATGACTCAAATCAATTACATCGCTGTCTGTTCAATATCTTTTTAAATCAACATGTTTTTAGTGTTTTGTAGGTCTAAAAGTTACATTATATGAATCCTACCCCTTAAGATGTGCCACATGGGGCTTATAACTTCCGAAATATTCCGAGTTCTGTATCCCCATCGCATCTGAGTGAGGGAAGCCTTGAGTGCCAGATTTTCTCCTCTTGCAGAAAAATGACACATTACAATATTTTTTTTTGTTGTTCCCTCATTGTTTTATTTTCCTCAAAATCTAGGCATGAATTTGTACCTTGACATATTTTCTTTAAGTGCACAGTGCACAGTCTGCTGGCCTAAATGTAGGTTTTGCTCAGCTAGTTATGGCTTAATTGTTATTTTAGGAACCTTCTACACACTTATACTTTTGAACTGTGCACCTATGTGACTTTGGTGGCAAAGCTTGGGGCTTTCGACATTAGTTGTGCATGTAAAATATCAGCAAGTACTGATCCCAAATCCTTCACTGCAATTTTTTTTCACTTGTCTGGTTTCTGACCAAATACTTATGGGCCAATCTGCTATTTGTTTCAGATACCAAGTTGGTATCAAACAACATGATGGGTCACGACAGGAGGCCGGGAGGTCGAAAGGAGCTCGGGCAAGAGCAATCAAAGCCGCCACAGATCTTGCTGCTTTTGAGAAAAAATGGAACAGTGTGAGTACATATTTGATTTGGCATGTGTACGATGTGGTATCAAAAGGTTTCCAGTCTTGTTTTGTATTAAAAAGAAAAGCAAATAGCGGCACGACACTGCATTCACAGGGGTCGAGGGCAGCAACCTTGATCTGTCATGGTGCTGAGTGGCTCAATGTGGCAATGCACAGGCGAGTTGGTGCATGATTACAAAACATTTAGTTGAAGTTCAGCGCTCGCCTTGTGCATTTCCTCCCTTTGTCCTTGTGTTTTTGCGCGCTGCTACCAGAGGCTTAGAGCATCGCTCTGTGAGCTTGGGAGCCCCGCTGTACAGGTTTTTGTGACTTCATGTGCGTGCGCCTCTGCAATTTGTGCAAGTGGTTGTGGTCCTCCCGTAGCCTTTTCAATCATCTGAATATGAATTTGTTTTATTTTCAGCTCATCTGATGATCGATCGGATGCCATGAAGGTTTCTTTATAATTATGTTCTTTTACGGTTTACAATATAGTTCTTCAATTTCAAAACTGCCTCCGTTTTGTCTTGTCCCTTTTTTCAGACACACTACACTTGTCACTAAGGATGTGTCGTTATATTACGGAACTGTACTGCGCTAACTCATGATGCCAGACGTTATCTGTAACCCTTCGTAATACTACCAAGGCCGTAGCTGAGAGTTCACATTATTGTTACCGTACAGCGAGCACACAGCGATAGAAGTGCAGTACGCAAGTACGGGATTAAAGCTGCAAACTAAACTTGAGGTATGCAAGCCGTCAAGCGTTCCGACGGTATTGAAGGCGCAAGGGAAGGGTACGGTAACTGAACTGTTACCGTTACAATACGGCAATGGAAGTGCAGTATGAAAATGCGGGACTGAAACCGTACCCTTCCCTTACGCCTTCAATACCGTCTGAACACTCGACGGCTTGGATACCTCGAGCTAAGTTTGCGGCTTTAGTCCTGTACTTTCGTACTGCGCTTCTATTGCTGTATGTCTGCTGTACAGAAATGATAATGTAAACTGTCAGCTACGGCTTTGGTGGTATTACGAAGGGTTACAGATAATGTCTGGCATCATGAGTTAGCGCAGTACGGTTCTGTAATATAACGGCACTTTTTTTAACAGTGCAGTACAATGCTCATCCAGATCGAAACGGGCAGGGGTGGGGCTCGAACCCAGGATCCCTGGGTTCTGCAGCGCAAGCTTTCGCTCAACGCGCGTCGAGCTGGGTGTGCGCTTTGGCCCACTCGGCCACCGATCCCCCCGCGACACTCCGAGCGTGGGGCGTTCCACGCGCGACAGATCGCGAGCCGATTCGTTGATCACATGAATGTCATTCGTTGTAAATGACATTCAAGTTGCCCGTGTGGCACGCGTGCCACACGAGCAACTTGAATGTATTAGTGCTGCGTCGCCATTTGTGTTCAAGGGCCGGTCGAGACACGGGCCTCGCGTGCACTGGCACCTTTGAGGTTATGTGAAAGACCAACGCAAATACATCGAGGGGATTTAGTCTCTGCACGCTCTGCAGCGGGAGCTCCATGCTTTGAACGGAGCTCGCACTCGCGCATTTCTCCACGTGCTCTGATCTGCAGTGCCACAACACACTTGACCAACGATCCCCCACCGCACTTGATTTATCCTGTGAGCTAGACCAAATGAGCTACACTTGGAGTATCAACAAATTTTCCTCCGATGTTGTTTTGGGCGCCGCCATGTTGGTGGTTAGTAACAAATCAAATGCAACTGCCGGTCGTCATGATTCAAAAGTGCGACTTCCTCAGCATTAATTTCGGTGTCAGGAATTTCACGTAATATTGCTTTGCTTTGTCGCCAACTGTTTAAACATTTGTGGAGGACAGAAAGGCGTTTCCTGTGATTTCCGATAAAGCTTCAGATAACTGACAACCATCATTTTAAGCATGCATATCTGTATGAAGCGTAGCTTATTTAGTGGGTTTAGTTTAGCCCGACTGCATAGGCACAGAAAGGGAACGAACAGCTAACTTCGTGCTCTTGGCGATGCTTCAGTGGCTTCATCAGCCCGTAGCGTTGGTTGCGCTCCGAACTAAGGTAAAGCAAAGCAAATATTCAGATCTTAGGGTTTCACAAGCCAAACCAACAAAAAGCACTTAACACGCCCAAATAAAAAAAGAAAATTATTGCGGGTTTATTTTGACTAACCGTAGACCTTTTGACGTGCAACCGAAATCTCAGATCGGCCTCCGTCGCATTGCGGCTACCTCGGCCGATATTTAAACTTGACAAATATAGATTCATGGGTCAGCGCGTTGCCTGAGAGGAACTGAGACGTTTTAATGTCATTGCCACTTAAGAGCCACCTAGGTGGTTTTTGAAACAGAATATAGTCGAACCATTCCGACAAGCATAGTTTAACATCGTAAATGATTTATTGAAGTGATAAAAACATTAAAATGTTTTCGCATACGTGGCGGAATCCGAAATTGCAGAATGCATTTCATGGCGCCCATTTATTTCATTTGGATCGCATCGGGCATGTGTACCGACGCACATTAGAACGCGCGCAAAAGTAGCTGTGGTGCACCCGCAGCCTCGCGCTTGTTCTCACACCTCTGGCTCGCTCACTGCGGGCATCCAGGCATCTGACACCCTGACCTCTGGCGCTTTTTCTGTCTTTCACGTGGCGTTCCAAGCGGCACACGACGGAAAATTCACATCAAGCTGTTCTTGAACACGTGTCGCCATCTGTACTTTATAGTAAGAAACTACAATTCGCCGTTACTGAATGGGAAAAGTTTGAGGTCTTATAACATTCTTAGCGTGTAATATATCGATATGGAAGTTCTGGAAAATGTAATATCGAAGGATGCTTCATAATTTAATGTCTCGTTATTTTGATTAGTTGATGTGATTCCGTTTTTATAGCACCGTAAAATATTAATATTTTAAACTTTATTTTTTTTATTTTAAAATGTACATTATCTGAACAGTTTGTTGCTTACTTTTTTATTTTATTACATCCAACCGAACGCTCACGTAAAATATCGCGGACGATGGGACGTTATAACTCGAGAAATATTTTTTTCAATATTAGAGACTGTGGTCTATTAAAAGCCAAATAATTAACTAACAACTAAAAAAAATCGTGATATCAAGACATTAAAGCATTGTTAAAAAACTGCTCTTTAATGTGACACTAATTTTATCATTCTAAGATTCATAGAAAGAAAGTTATAAGCCGTCGGAGAAGCACCAAAACGTCATGCACGGTGGGGTTGCACCTTAAAGACCGACCAACGAAACCATTTTCCACAAGGTAAGGAAAATGCCCCTCGCGCCCTCCTCTTTTCACCTTCTCCCAAAAATCACGTGACGGAAGGGGCTTCTTTTGTGTCGGCTTTTTCTGTAGGGATAATCCTCAAAAAGCGCGAAATGAGCGGCTAGCTGCGAGCGCCACAACGACCTTGAGACGTCCAGGTGTCTTCCCTCCTTGACGCAGGGCGCGGGCACTTCAATATGCGAGATTGAGGAAGCCAGCGCGACCGAACGGTTTTTCCCATGAGCTGCAGGTCCGAGGCCGCTCGGTTGGTGGAGATCGAGGGGACGTGGTATGGGGGGAGGGGGGGCGGGGGCTGGGTTTGTTCCAGCAGCCGCTTTCTGCCATCGCGCGGCTGCTGGAACCATTCCCGTGTCTGCAGAATGTTTGACTTTCGCAATAAAGGGTTCAGGTCGTCGATAATACATTTATTTTCGTAACTTATAAATCAACTGGCTTTCGCTAATCTCTTCATTACTGTTTGAAACACATCTCCTCTCATAGGTTGTTCATCCCATTTTGAACTCTTGCGTATTTATTCGTCCTTACCTCTGCTTGATGTCTGTTTTCTTCCTTGATAAAGAACTTTAAATATTGGCGCGGGCTTGCACGATCAACGCTGTCCCGGATTTATCCAAGATTGGAAAGATTGGCGTCAAGAGCGGTTGAAGAAGCAAACTGAAATCCTTGCTTCTAATGAAGACGACACAATCATAAGATAGATCTTTGCTTCACGTGCCTCCACAACGCCCCATCGTTTGCACTATCGCAACTTCTCAGTAACATAGCTGTATACCACATTTTACTGATGGTTACTATAGATGTGGCCCCACAGGCTTTCCCGTTATCAGCGAGTCGACGTTTTAACGACCGGCGACTCTCCTGAGTGAGAATAAATATTATCACCTTCCATCAACATCCACCCCTTTCTCTCTCTCCACCCCACCCCCCCTTTCCCGAGTTGGGGAAGTATCAGGACACTCCAGGAAGCAGCCTGCAGACTGCGCTTTTCGGCTACTCATCCTCAACATATTCGAACGTGGAAGTAAACATATCGCATGAGCGACGCCCTGTTTATTTGCAACCTAAATAATGTGGCTCTACTGTTGGGGCCCAATCAATTTCATCATCGATCATTATTTGTTACGACTTCATTGTGAAAGTGTGTTCGTCGTGATGCCACAAAAGTGGTCGATTCAAAGGGAGAAATAGGTCCTCGTATTTATTTTGCGGAAATACTCGCTTCTGTGACGCTCTAGTGCGTAAGGTCAACGCACCCGAGGCAGTGCGTAATACATTACAACTGTCGTTGAGGATGAAGTATTTGTGGGAAGTGCGTAAAATTGTTTACACCACAAAAGCATACCTAAACACAACAAAATATCGCAAATGCAAAAAAAAAAAAAAATCTGCCTGCAAAAATTGCTTTCCTCCTTCCTCTATCTCTCTCTCTCTCTTTTCGCGCCACTACAAAAATAGCGGCCGGGCAACGAAATTCCATCAAAACCTCGCTTCTCGGAGAAATGACAGCAGGCTATATGGTAGTGAATCTGCCAGAGAGTTTGTAGAAATAATGGGCGACCATTGAATCTAGCCTTCTGCACGAATCATGCCTGGGATATTTCCATTTTCCTTCCACGCAATTAGAAGGCAAGACGTTGGGGGAATTTATGGGCACTAACATGCTGCTTTTAAAAGAAAGTACCAGATTTCTAGTGCATGTCAATCTACATGTAAATATTTTAATCAGTGCGCACAAACAAGCATGGCGGAAAGCTTGCTGGACATAGAAGTCTCTATTGCATTGCACTGGTGTGAAAAATTATTACGTGTTTTTGTTTTATTTCTGTGCGAGAATAAAAACAGCGTTTAGAAACCGAACAATGTGCGTTTTGAGGAGCCCTGAAAGGACATAAAAAAACCGGGACAACCTGAACAATACGAGGCGCCTTGCGTCTCTCAGCTTTTCCTGGTTGCTTGTTTTTCCGGAGCCTTTCAAAAGGGGATGAAAGATTATGAACCGATTGGCCCGGCTTGCCACATTAGAGCAGTGCATTTTCATTACGACAGGCTCTCTTAGAGCGTCTTGCAAAGTTCAGCTTGGACTGGTCCGTTTTTATTTTCGGTTCCTTTCAAAAAGTGACCTCTAAGCCACTGGACCAACTTACAACATTCAAAATTTACGGAATTGGAGAAGTGGTTGGGAGGGCCAAGCGGGCAAGGGTTGCA